GGAGCTGCTCAGATTGATGGCTGGCTCGCTGCTCCCGTTACTGAGCATGGAGCTCTGCTCCTCCAGTGCCACCATCCGTTCCTAGAAATAGAGGGCACTTGCAGCGGTATTAACTTGCCGGGCTGCCACAAGGGCACTACAGGCTGGGGAGCTAACTTCGCGGCACAAGCTCCTGCCTGGCAAGGGCACTACAACTGCAATGCACTCTGCCACGTTGCAGTTGTTCCAAAGGAAAGATGGCTTTTCTGCATGCCTGCCCCCCCCCCCCCCGCTTTTCACTAGCAATAGTAACTGTTTGATCCACCAGAAGGGTGGTTATATCATTTCTGAAACTGTAAAAGCATATGCTAATGTGTAGCCATTTGGCCACGCAGCAGTGAAATGACGGTTCGTATTGCTTATGCAGTTCAGTCTCATCACTTAAATAGTTTGTGCATCTCTGTCCTTGTTAGGAAGGAATGATGCAACCAACAGTGCAACCCAAAAGGGGCTGACTTAACTGCCAGGACTGGAGGTCAGACATCTGTCCTGTTCTCACTAGAGACACAGAGGTCACGTCTTTTTGACGTGTGACCTCGCTATCTGCTCATAGGACCACGTGAGAACTAGACCCAGTTTTCATGCTACTTTGTGAAACACATCAATCTTCTCCCAAGGTGAATGCTGGACACCTGAATGTCCCCACCAGAGAGAAAGGCAATTCCTGATTTTTCCAGAGCTCCCAGAACTTTTCTCAATATGTGTCATTGAAGCCGATGGCAAGAAAAAATTAGATGTATGCAGTTATGTAGATACAATCCACCACCACATCCAACATGAAGCAACAGCAGAAAAACAACTTCAGCTTTCCTGTTTCCAAGAGAAAGTGTCCTTTGATGTTAAAATTAAAGACACTAAACATTAAATAAATTTTACATTAAATGTATGTCACTTTTTATTTTATTTTTATATAAAAAATATTTATTAACCTACATTATGCCAGGTTCTGGAAAGAAATAAAACAGAGGAAAGAATACATAAAACACAGAGACACACACACACACACACACACACTCACACACACAATTTAAAATACAGAGAAACTTAGAAAATCAAGAAAAATCCACACTGCAAGTCTTTCAAGAAAGCCTTTCAAAAGATACCCTTTGTACTAACATCACTATCTTATTGCTTGATTTCATTCTGCTTCAGGGCAAGCATCCTCAGGTAACTACTAAAATAGCTACTAACACCTATAAAAAAGCAGAAAGTTATGACTGTAAGGATCCTAACCCCCCGACTATTCTTCCCAGAGCCACTGATCAATCATAGCATCATTAGAAGCAAGACAATTTGATATTCATGATGTATCCCCAAATGTGCTAATAAATGTCATCTGTGAAGTACCTGACTATAAAGTTAACTCTGATCTTGCAGTAGTGGTGTAGAAAATACATAAATAGAAAAACAAGTTAAATTTCACCACAAGGAAGCAATCAGCTAATGCAAGATATGAATAATAATATGGACAGCTATAAACAAAGTAAGGGGCACTATTATTGATTAAAAGAGATTTTAGAGAATGGGAGTGTAGTTCAGTGGTTGAGTGCTTCCCTAGTATGTGCGAGGTCCTCAGTTTGACCCACAGAATCAAGGGGATAGAGTGATCAAAATATGCTGTAAATGCTTAAATAAGACAAATTTATTACAGTAACAGATACAGTGCCGTTAACCCCCCTCAAAACATTTCCCCTTACTCTGAAGAAATTTATCTCATTGTTCTGGCCACTTCCTGAAGCAGTTGTGCAAGTCCTCTCCTATGAGTGTCTTTCTGTGGCTGGCTTAATGTGCAGAATTGATGCAAAACATTTACCAAATAAAAAATGGATGCCAAAAATTTACCAAAGCAATTTCTACCAAATAAAAATATTGCACTGTGTCCTCGTCTACCTCACTCACCAGATCAGGCACTGTGTAACTTCTGATTCTTCCCATATGGAAAATGACTGTGAAGGGGGTTCTAAGTTTAGGACACTGAGGCAGCGACCACAGAAAAACTAAAGACATGGAAAGGGACCTCCAGAATTAAAGTCCTTCAGAATGACGGAAATAAATGCGTCTGAGGTGACAGGGAATATTTTGATTTATGGAAACATCATTTTTACTGTAGTGAATTTTTAAAATTTAAATGATCACTGTGTTTTTTTAATCACACCTCATAGTAGTCAAATACACTGTAAACCTTGTTGCGTTCTGACAATAAGCCAGTCATAATGATAAGTTTCCAGACAGGTGGGGAAATGGGAATGTGAACCAGATGTTAAATGATACTAACAAACTAATTAGCTATTTAATTCTTCCCAGTTGATCAGGTTCTTTCAAGCTCTGCACTATTGACTTTGGGCCGGATAGTTCTTTGTAGTGGGTCAGTCCCACTGTTGGAATATTTAGTAGCCCTCTTGGCCTCTATCTAATAGATCCCAGTAGTACCACTCTCTATAAAACTGTGACAATAAAACCCATTTCTATGCAGACCCTGACAAATTTTCTCTGATTAAGAAAGCCCTCATCAGCTGGGTGTGGTGACTCATGCCTGTAATCCCAGCACTCTAGAGGCTGAAGCAGGAAGATCAGAAGTTTAAACCCAGCCTCTAACATTTAACTACTTAACAAGACCTTGGCAAAAATAAAAAGTTAAAAAAAAAAGTCTGGGAATGCAGCTCATGCAAAGGGTCTGGGCTTACTTAATATGTAGTACCAAAAAAAAAAAAAAAATTCCCTGAGTCAGAGATGCATAGAGGTGTGACTGAAATGATGTGATATTTGAGATTTGCTTTTAATTATCTTTATCAAAAGAGTGGCAGTGTATGGATGAAACTTTAATAGTATATGTTTATTTAGTTAAAGCTGAATGACACTCATTGAGATTTGTAATCTTTCTCCACTTCTGTGCACAATTTTTAAAAAGCAATCAGTTAATAAAACCTTAGATGGGGTTGCCAGTGGGCTTCCCTTCAAGTCCTCCTTCCAAAGCAGCTTCATTGTGTAATTCAAAACCTACTTGTACTTCCAGAATTCCTACCTGGCATCGGAACAGCAAGCTTCGCTAGTTTACCAATCTGTGTTCTTAAATCCAGAAACAGAAAATATCAGCTAGAAGCAGGGCTGACATTGAAAATAAAAGTAGCAGATATCTTGGAGTTTTCCCCAACCTCCACTAATTCTGCACTAACAAAAAAAAATACATCTTCCCCTATCGCTTTTCCTTACTGTAAAAGGAATTCATGTGCTGAATCAATAAATGAACTTCAGGATACTTGGTTTAGAGGTTATAGAAAATTACAAAATTCCATCATTATAATCATATCCCATTAACTTTCCATCTAAATCCCTGGTGAAATACTAGGGGTACATATAGGCTTGTCATTTAGAACACAGAGAAACAGAAGAGCAGAAGAAATGAAATGCGGAGATAGGGGAGTGCTGGAGGCTTGTGACTTCCACAGGAGGGAACAGGAGATACAGTCAGAAGAACAGCTACAGAAAATGAAACTGGAAAGTTGGGACTTTTCAGCTATTTCAAATTATGATTGAAAAGTCCATGCCAGATCACAGAGTCTCTGAACTGAGTAGAAAAGAAGTTTCTAGAAAGTGATATAAAATAAGTATAAAACAGTCATTTCTGGTATGATACATATAATTTAGTTAGAATGAGCAAAATAACCTGGCTGACTGAAACAAGTAGAGCATGATTAGTTGGGAGCTGGGTGTCACTAGCGGTGCACAGGATATTGCTGATATCACCGAAGGATGCTCATAGCAGGGTGAGAACCCAGTATGGCTGACTAAATGTGAGGTCTTCACAGAGAAGAAAAGCAAATCTTCAAAGATGAGTGGGGTGTGGATCAGCTAAGACTTTGCATGAAATGACGAGAGCTAAAGTATTCGACGAATACTTATTAAATGGAGTGGCCCCTCCGTAGTAGGTACTATGTTGAGGTTGATTTTGTGTAAAGATGCATAATTCAGAACCTTCATACTCCAAAGGATGAATTTTTAGGATAAAATAAGGAATATACACAAAGTCCTTTGCCAAGAGTGTGGGGGCAAGAGTTGTTGAACATGAAGTGTCTATTAGTTAGGGCTCTCCAGAGAAAGAGAACCAAAAAGTTATGTGTGTGTGTATGTGTGTGTATGCGGAGGGAGACAGAGAGAGAGAGAGAGAGAGACAGACAGAGAGAGAGAGAGAGAGAGAGAGAGAGAGAGAGAGAGATTGAGAGAAGGAACTGGCCCATGCAATTACAAGACTGACAAGTCCAAACTCTGTGTGTCAGGCTAGCAGACTGGAGATCCAGGAAAAAGATGGTGCCACAGCTTGAGTTCAAAGGTGGTCTGGAGGAAGAATTTCTCCTTTCACAAGGTTTCATAAGGCCTTCAACTGACTGAATGAGGGCCTTTATGGAGGAAAATCTGCTTTACTCAACATTTACTAATTTAAATGTTAATTTCATCTAAATGATACTGTCACGGCGACATTTGAACCTGAGTCTGACTGTGGCCTAGCGAGCCTGACACATAAAATTAACCACCACAGGAAGGGACGTCCGAGTGTGAGGGATATAGGTGTGTGGTTAAGAGCCATGAAAGCCAGACTGCTAAAAAGTGTTAACCAAAGGATGCTGGAGTAAGGCGAGGCCAGGGATGTGGCTGATAGTCTGGAGACACAGCATCACCTATCATTTTCACCTCTGAGGCAACCAGTGGCACCCGTTCCACGTCACCCCACAAGTGCTGTGGGGGTGGCCCTTCCCTCCCAGGAAATGAATCCTGTGCCAGGATGCCTCATTACCACTCTAATTAAAATTCGGGAAAGCTCAGGTTTCAGGCTTTCTCTGCTGTAGTCAGACAGAACCAGGCACACCCAGGAGCTGTTTTGCATTTCAAAAGACCTGTATGAATAGAAAGGATTTTCCTTTCTCAGTGCTGAAGTTTTTTAAAGCAATTCCTATTTTCCTTTTTAGGTCGAAATAAGTAATGATATTAACTCAGAAATGCGGCTGCTGAACTTGACCTAAGGGAAAAGCACCACCGTCCACGAGCACCAGGTGGATCCGACACGCACCACCTTCCTTCAAGGGAATGAACTCTGCCTCCCTGCTTTCCCTCGGATCGCGGAGTCCTCAGCTCACAGCCCGTGTGTTATTAGCATTGTTTGCTAGATGCGTTCTAGGTGCTTGGGTGGGTATTTTTTTAGTCATTTTCTTCTTATATGAAAACTTGTAAATTGTAAAAAAAATGGTTTTTAATTTTTTTAACAATATTTAATGTGAGGCATGCATTACAAAAAAAAAAGTCTGTGAAAACCTAGTCATTTCTAAGAGATATATCAGTGTGTGTGTTGCTTGAGGTGTGAAGTCAGCGCTGCTGACCGCTGAGGTTACCCTAGGCCAGGGGCGTCCACCCTGGCAGACACTGCCCATGGTCACCAGACACAGGCAGATCCCGTGACAGATGATATCTGGTACAAATAATGGATCCAGCTCTCATACCGACTATGGAAAACTGTTTGAACACCACAAGGCAAAATATGGAGTCCCCCTTCTTTCCTACCTTCTCAAACTCAGAACAGCATGACAGCAACCTAAATCTTCAGAGCTGTACCTGACATCTTGTTCTTGTATTTTGAAAAAAAAAAAAGTGTGTGTTAAAGAGTAAAATGATTGTGGGACTCCTTTCTCCTTTGAAGGGAACAAATGCATCTCCGAGGCCCATGCTGAGTTCTATACAAACACTTCTAAAGAAAACATTTGCATTGAGATACATCAGCTTTTCTTTCTCCTCCCCCTTCACAATAACCAAGAAAATGATATTGTGAAGAAAAGGACTGCCTTGAGAATACATTGTAATTTTTTTAATTGACATAAAATTTACATGGGATAAAATGCACAGACGTTAAGTACAGAATTTAATTAATTTGGAAATATGTAGACACTCAATCAATGTCTCCATCAAAATACAGAACATTCCTATCACTTTAAAACACTTCCTGATGCCCACTTTCCGATTAATTCCCACATTCTCTAGACAATCAATGTGCTGTTTTCCCATTGCTTTTCTCTCTTCTCAGTATACTGTGCATGTGTTTTTTTCACATCACTTTTTCCCATATCCCTCAATTATTATTCCCAGTGTGAAAGTAAGTTTTGTTCACTTTGTACGCCAGCCAGAGCGAAGGTCACAGAGTTGTGCACATGTGCACTATTTAGTACAGAGATTGTTAACTAGGTCTCTGCCTCTCTAGAAAGTCTATAAACAGCCTAAAGTTGCTGCAAATATTTGCATATGTGTAGATTTCTTTTTTCTTCTTCCTTTCTGGAGGCTATGGATTTCATGGGACTCTGAAAAATCAAAACTTAGTATCACAAAGTTTTCCCTGATTCTTCCCAGTTTATAACAAGCACAGTGGACTTTCTAGTGAGTGGTGTGCCTCTGTCAAATGCTGCCCAGTTACTCCTACCAGCGTTCCTCCTATTGAGTAAAATCAGATTAAATGAAGAGGCACTAGCACCTTGAGAATGAGGCAATCTAAGCGGCCATTCTGTAATCCAGGGAGAGGAGCCCTGGGGCTTTGGTGCACTGGTCGAGAACCCTGGTTTTATATGGAGGACCAAGACCTATGGCCAAAGGCAAAAAATGGGAAGAGGGCAAAAACTGAGGCGTGGGTCCCAGTCTACTACTGTGGTATTAGACCATGTTTGCTATCTTAGCAGTCTTCTGCATTTATGAAGAACTACGATCTCTACCTCCCAAAGGTGAGGTGAGGATTTGATAACAAACGTTAAAAAAATCTATAGACTGTGAAACATTCCACAGTTGGAAAAGGCAGTTATTATCAGTACTGCCAAGGCACTAAATTGGTCTAATTTGGAGGACCTATGACTCGCTCAAGTGCCGTGAAAGCTGACAGCAACAACAAACTTTTCTGCTTCCTAAAACCGGTTGGGAAAATTGCCCATGTTTAAACAATGTGAAGTAACGAAAATGAAAAATTCCTTTTTTTAATTACAAAACTAGTATAAATCATTATTATTTAAAAAGCTAATTAAAATTAAAATTGTAGAAAATGAGTAAGACAGAAAGATAAAATTAATATTTGCATATTTTAATCTGTAATTTCATACCCACAAAAATAAGAACATGGTTAACATTTCACAAAATAATACTGAAATATTATTCTGGCTTAGTGATTTTTTCAGAGAACATTCACTGTGGGCAACTGCTTCATATAGCACATGTGTTTTTATTTTTACTCTTTGCTCATTTAAATAATGAAATGATAGTTGCTTCAGTTTCAAACCCCAGCAATATATAATGACTTTTCTGAAGTTTGGGAAAAGTTACCGTTCACCAGAATGAAGTATTCAGTCTCCTCCCTCCTCTCCTCTCTTCTCGCTGCTTCTCGTCTTTCTAGCTACTCTTCGGATGCTCTGCTTACCTACAGAAAAAGGGATAAAGACAGGGGCAGAGTTCTGCAGCACCATCTGGCATTCACCCATCAGTCTGGACACTTCCAGCGCAGTACTCTCATGGTTGCTGTTGCACGGCAGTGAGGGTTTCCAGCTCTTACTTCTGCTTCCTGTCTTAGGAAATCCACTCTGCCCTGTGCATAGCCAATAGGGCTTTCATCAAGGATGTGTTCACTATCTGTGTGTTCTGCCCAAATCTTTGCTTCTCCACATGGAACTGTGTGCCTGATCAGAGTATAATTGTGTGTCTCGGGGGCTGGGGATTTAGCTCAGCGGCAAAGCGCCTGCCTGGCAAGCGCAAGGTCATGAGTTCGGTTCCCGGTACCGGAGAAAAACCAAAAAAAAAAAAATTGTGTGTCTCATCCACTCATCTACCAGAACCTTACCATACTACGGAGACTCGAGAGTGCTCTAGACAAGTGGCCCAGTTAAAGCAGAAAAGGGGGCATCTCCCGCCCTTTGGCTCCTAGTGCAAGTAGAACAGGGAAGGGAACATGCAAAATCAATGTTTTTCCCTCTTTGAGCCAGCTTGGCCTTGAATCTTGTGAACTCTGGCCATCTTTTCCCCAGGCTGTACTTTTGGTCTTGATGGAGTAATGTCCTTTTTAAGGGTCTTCTGCTGATATTGTGTGACACACAGGAAGCTGGGATGCTTCCAGGTTCTCTCTTTATTAGAACCTCCAGACCTGTTCCAAAGCCAGTAAAAGTTAAACAGGAGAGTTACAGAGAGTGTCAGAGAATTTTCAGGAGAGAGAAAATGTCTTAGATTTAGAAGGGTCCATACCAGGCAACTCTCAAATTTCTTTCAGAGAAACCTCCCAATGAGTATGTCCCCCAGAACCTGAGCCTTCCTCCTCACAATGTGAGAAGACGTGTTCTTAAAACAGAAGCTGGGCTCATTTGTTTTGAAGACAACTTGACATCTTGTTTTGAAAGCAACTTGACATCTTGTTCTAGAAAAATATTGACTCCTTTTCTTTTTCTTCCAGGAAATATAAGCCCTGCTATTCCTATAGACCTCAATAAGGGAGCCAGGCATGTTCAAGAGGCTGAATCTAACAAAATATGGCAGGGTTTCCATCTATCTCACTTAACAAATGGGACACTCTTGATTGAGTGCAATTTGTCTTTGTTAGAACCAGCTAAAATGTATAAAAGGCATAGCTGAGGAGAACCGTCATAGTAAGGTGTGTAAATTGAGCAGCAGTTATAAACAAAAGTTTCTTTTTTTTCAATCCTTGCAAATTAGAAGGGAATCTTGCCAAGAATAAACAGACCTTCATATTATTATTAATTTTAAAAATTATGGTATCCCCAAATATGGATGCTCTATGGAGATATTCTGGCTGATAAGTTTTTAATGCAAATACTCACTTATCATTTTTGAGTTATTTTAATGAGTAACTCACAGAAAATGTTATTGTTTATTAGAATTCAAATATTCTACCTTGATATTTTAGCATGATGTAGTATCTGTTTTCTCTCAAGTAATAGATGAGTTAAATAGGAAAAAATACAAATAATTTATCCTTTAAAACTTAGAAACTTTAAATATCTGGATTTTCAAAAAGTATTTCCTTTCATTTAATTAGAGTCCATAACACTATTTTTTTGGATATAAATCATGTTGAGATGTCTAAGAGATGTGATTAATAAGCCTACAGCTTAAGGATGTTTTGCTCAAAAGCAGAACAAACAGAGGAAATCACTTTCCACATACATAACTACATGGTGTACAATTGAGAAAGAAAGCAGAGGTATTTTAAATATTAGAATATATTTATTAATACAGAATTCTCAAAAGAGGGTGCGTAATTATAAAAAGGAAAGAAAGTGAAAGTAACAAAAGAGAAAGTGAAAGTAACAAGGGAAGGGAGGGAGATTTGCCAGTGTTGATTCTTAACCCAGAGTTTGTGTTCTTTATTTTTGACTAAAAGCATTAAATCATTTTCCATTTCCTTTTCCTTTACAAAAGTATTAAGAAATAGTTTGAAGAAAGCAGAAATCTATCTTGTTCTTCTCAAAGTTCCTTTAGCAGATAACCTTGTCAGATCATGTTAGCATTAGTTTTACCCACAAGTGAGAAAAAATACAGTAGTTTAAATAAGATAAAGGTCTATTCCTCTACATATTCTAAATTTCTGAAAACAACAAAGAACTAGATATGAGTTTCCTAGACACGGAGCCACAACTCTTCTTGTGTCTTCATCCTGGATGGCTCCACACTTCCAGTTGTAACATAACCCAAAATGTTTGCTGAGTTCCAACCGCTGCTTTCATGCTCTCGCCAAAAAGGAAGAGAAAGGAGAAAAAGGATTCTTCTTTCGTTTAAGGACATACATCAAAATTGCCCACAGTACTTCCGCTTGCAGTGCATTCGTGAAAACTGTGTGCAGCCCAAACTTTACTCCTAAAAAAGCTGGCAGTTACGGCCTTCATTCTTGATGGCATGGTGCCCACCTAAATATTACAGGCTTCATTTGTTAGTAATGTGTGTAAAAATATATATAAGAATCTTTAGCAGCCTCTGCTACATACTTCAAATTAATTTGTCCAGATGGTGCTTTCATCAATTTTTATTACAGGAATAGTGTTTTCATTATAATACAGCATAGAACATATACATATATTCTTCAACATTGTGAGGGATTTAGTCACGGAGCCCATGAAATGAGAATTTCTGCTTCATATTGTTTCCATACCTGGTCTTTATGGTTAGAAAAAAAGAAAAATAAATCTAAGTGTGATCGGTCTATGTTTTCTATAACTCTGCAGAGTGTATTTCAGCTTTCCTTCTCTGAAATTGAATCTAAAATTGATGTGCCAATCTATTGCTCTTGGTCCTCACTGTCCCACTAGAATAATAAATTAATCCTTCTGCGGTCAGAACAGTTAAACTCTTGTTTTGGCAGGAGTTTCTCTTTTGAATTTATTAGTAGTGTCATCATTTCCTTGTTGTCCCCTCAGCAAATGGCTACTAGACATAGTGCATAGGAAGGTGGGACTGGATGGATAAGGGATATGATGAGTGCATGATCCTTCCTTTTCTGATTTCTCTCAGTTAAAGTTGAGCCTGTTTTTCCTTCGTCTGTTTTTCCTCAAGAATATGTTATAGGCTAGAGCAGAGTACTTACTTTTTCTAAGAAAAAATACAAGACAGGGAAGTCATAAAAATTTTTGTAACAAGATTTTATTGTATATTCTTTCTAGGGTGTGTGTACATGAGAGAGACACAGAGAGAGAGAGAGAGTGTGTGAGAGAGAGAGAGAGAGAGAGAGAAAGAGAGAGAATATGAATATCCCAGGTACTATTTATTCAACAATATCCATGAAGTGGTTTCAATCACGGAAATGTGTTGGCTACATTTTCCTAGCACCTTGTGCCTCTAAATCTGGCTGCTGTGACTGGTAATTTAAACAAAATTCATGACTGATTGATATTGTACGCACACATCTACATGCAAACTTTCACAACTGTTTACCTTTCTTTAAGCATTTACATGATTAGAAGGTACCATATGATCTAGTTCTTTAAATGTTAAATAGTATGTATGATTATTTTAGGGCGTCAACATTAAAAGAAATAAAATGTCTAGTACAATGTGCTATTTCTCTACAAGACAAAGGTTTAGCACTGAGCAGGACCTCCATGATTCCCTTCTGTTGAGATTACAGATGAGAAGGCTGAGGCTGCCATTCCTGTGCCTTTGCTCGAAGTCCCATCATTCCTTCTAGGCAGGTTCTCAGCTCAGCCTTCCCTCCTCTGCATTTGTTGGCAGATAGACGCATCATGTCCCATCTCAGCTGTTGGCTGCAGTTTGATGTCTTTTTGCCGGAGTCAATTTCACCCGGGCACCCAGGCTTCAGATCTCCCACCTTTAGCTTAATCCCCTTCACCTTTCCTCTGCATGGTTCTAAGCATCAGTCAACCTCCAATGGCTTTTCTCTTTGCTTTTCTTTTTCTTTGCTTTTGTCTTCTCAGGGGAAATAAGAAACCTCAACTTTCAGAGCAGTGTTCTTTGCTTTCCAAAATACAACAGAGCTTGGGTCTATCTACCACCTTCTTTCATTACTCTTGGTTTAAATATAACTCCGTGTGTTCTAATGACTTTTTGCCAACCAATATGAAGATGGCTTACTATTAACTGCTACACAGCAGACCCTTCTAAAATTACTTTTCTTGGGAAAACAATTTTGCAAATAATGGCATAAAATCATTTTTAACTGCCTCATATATTCATTTCTTCTAAGCTTTTTTGAAGAACATTGCTGTTTTCCTTTTCTGATATATTATTGTTAGTGTTCCTTTGGTTTTTTTACAAAAGAGACTTTGATTCATTGATTTTGTGGTGGGTTTTTTAGTAGAACAAAATGATTGCAAATTATAGAAACAAAAATCAACAAAAAATACAACCCACTACAGCAAAAGCCCAGATTTTTAGTAACACAGAAATAAAACAAGGTAAAATAAAATGATCTGGGTAATAAAAATTTTAGGAGGACACAGGTGCATCGTTAACATTATCGCTGAATGGGGTTGGGCCTGTTTTAAATCCATCTCCCTGGCCCCTG